CCTATTCCTCTGAGCACATATCTGAAGAACATGGTTTGGAGATGGAGGGTCCTCCATTTCTAATCTATATCTCTCATGGGAGCCATCTTGGTTTGGGGGTCTCACTAACCCACCTTTTCAACTACCATCAAGGAGACCTACAAGACTCTATGGAGGAACCCGGTGTGCCCCGACTACTACACGGACGTCAAAGTCGGGTTGCAATCTACTGCCGGAGTGTGGCTCAAGATGTGTAGTAGACTCAGATAGGGCTACCGGCATGCTAAAATGGGACAACACATGATTCGGACGATTGACGCTAGACCCTTGTTTTTGTCATCATATCTGCTCTCTGGAACCACCTGTTGTGAGCAAAGGGACGTTACGCCTTGCTTGCGTATTGGAGAACATATTGCCTGCGTATGTGTTCGCGAGACTCCAAACTAAGAAGGGAGGTATCGTGCCCAGACAGCAGGGATCAGGGACCAGGGGTCTCACTATATTATACCCTATCTTGTAGGTGGCATGTAGACCAGGTACCCCTACACGAATTTTGACAGGTGAGGACTCTTCGTTGTTATACAGTTCCCAATCACCATTGGATCCGTATTTTTTTTCACTGTTAGACCATAACACATCTGGATGGAAATCTCAACTCCGGATTACGTTTCCCATCCCTTTTGAATATTTCAGGGATTCACACAAGTTCAGTTTGGGACCTTGATTGGACGTCCCTTTGGAGTCCTTTCTCTACCGCAGCCGAGGATTACACAGTCCATTTGGAATATTGGAATCACTTAGGATACGGCTGGTTTGACCACACTCTTGCCGACATAATAAATTTCTTCTCGGATGAGACATGTTACCGGGTAGGCCAAGAGGGAATGAAAGATCCTACTCGGTTCTATTACGGAAATGGTGCATTTAGGCGCATTCCTCGAGATTGGAGATCTACCGGCAAGGCCACATTGCTGGGCGACCCCGGCACATTCGGAGGAGCCACCTTACACATCAAGAGTTGAGACATGATGGCAGTTTCTTCTCACGGCCCTAAGTACACAAAGGACCTTCGACATTTTACAACTACAGGTAAATGGCTAATAGGTCAGCTTGGCAGCTCATGGACCGGCTGCTAGGAAACAGGTCACAACCCACGTACAAAGGATCTATCAATGGATGGTGTTTTTTCCGTATTTGGGATGCTTCTTTGGCTAGCATATTCATCGATCCGTCTACTGTCATTTATCACAGTTGGAAAGTCCATTTAGGAATGCTCTGATATCTCCCGGAATAGGTACCAGCAAAACAAACAGCGTTGGATTTGTTGACTGAGCGTTAAAATAGCAAATACGAAGCCTCCTGTCATGTTATAAAATTGTAGATAATTCTAGCTTTAGTGTACCTATAATCTTAATTTTATTAATGACAGGAGGCGAGTATTTCCCACCCATTCTTATCCCTCCCTTGTTTAATTTTAATAGTTTGGATTAATCAGGTACGTATGCAGCTCTGCTTGTTGTCTCTGCTACCTGTCACCTGTTCTTATGTCTGTTTTTTCATAAGTAGGGTTGGGATATCTACATATTAAGGTAATTTTGGGTTGCTACATTGAGTACCTACATGTTTATTCAGAGTACATTGCCTTGGATAACCAACCTTTTCGATTATGTTTTTCTCTCGTTTCAGTTTACAGTCCCTCAACGCTATCTGGTTTGGCAGTTCTTCTCGGATGGCAGACATTGTTGAATTCATTGCATCTAGGACTGCGTTTCTTCCCCATTATGTTTTCTGCCTTTTATTCTGTTTTTGTCGCAGCTTGAAAGAGGAAATGATGCATGGGAAGGGGAGTTTTATAGTACCTAACTGTTTTCTGATTGGTTGTTTTTCTGTGCTGCTGTGGCGTACTAGTAAAAAGAGACTTAAAGGACCACTATAGTGCCTGGAACACATACTTGTTTTCCTGGCACTATAGTGCCCTGAGGGTGCCCCCACCCTCAGGGTCCCCCTTCCGCCCGGCTCTGGAAAGGGGAAAAGTGCTGGGCGGAGAGCTCTCTGCCTCCTCCTCCGATCCGCCCCGTAGGCTGAATGCGCACACGCGGCAAGAGCTGCGCGCGCATTCAGCCGGTCATGATAAGTTTCTCTGAAACTGCTATGTTTATGAAAAAATGGGTTAACCCTAGCTGGACCTGGCACCCAGACCACTTCATTAAGCTGAAGTGGTCTGGGTGCCTAGAGTGGTCCTTTAAGCAAATACGAAGCCTCCTGTCATTAATAAAATTAAGATTATAGGTAAAGCTAGCATAATCTACAATCATCGATTCTATAGCAGGTCTTAACATTAGGTAAATAGAACCTCAGATAAACACATGGCATGTTACCCCGTGTCATGATTTATTTAACAATAATAAAGCCAAAATGGAGAAGCCATGTGTGAAAAATTAAGTGCTGCTTTCCCAGGAATTAAAAGGCTAAGTATAAGAAAGGTGCTGCTAATCAAATGCCCTTGATTAATTGATCATCAGCCGGTGTGACCACCTTCATAAAAGCCTAAGTTTTAGCAGTTTGCTGGTCTGGAGCATTCAGGTGTGTAAAATGTCAAGGAGGAACGACATCAGCAATGATTTTAGAGAAGCAATTGTTGCTGCCCATCAAACTGGGAAGGGCTATAAGGTAATTTTCAAACAATTTAAATTCCATCATACTACAATGAGAAAGATTATTTAAAAGTGCAAAACATTAATTGTTGCCAAACTTCCCAGGAGTGGACGTCCCAGCAAATTCATGTAATACTCAGCATGTTAAATGCATTACTCTCACTAAGAAGAAAGAAACAGTTACCAGAGGGAGATCACAGCAACTACACCACACGCACCGTAACAGAGAATAGTCCTCAGTGCTGACAGCTGATTGACATGATAAATTTCACGCTTTTTTTAACATTGATGTACAAAGCT